ATCTATCTATCTATCTATCTATCTATCTATCAAAGCTATCTATCTAATCTATCTATCTATCTATCTATCTATCTATCAAAGCTATCTATCTAATCAATCAATCAATCTATCTATCTATCTATCTGACTGTCTGTCTGTCTGTCTGTCTATCAGTTATATCTATCTATCTACCTACCTATCTATCTATCTATCTATGTATCTATCAGTTATAACTATCTATCTAATTTAACTATCTATCTATCTATCTATCTATCTATCTAATTTTATCTACCTATCTAATTCATTCTATCTATCAATCTATCTGTCTATCTATCTTTCTATCTATCTATCTATCTAATTCTATCTATCTATCTGATTGAATTTAACGATCTATCTAATTACACCTTTCAATTCTAATTATATTATATATATATATATATCTGATTATTATATTATTATCTATCTATCTGACTCTATCTGACTCTATCTAATTCTATCTAATTCTTTCTAATTCTTTCAATCTATCTATCTATCTATCTATCTATCTACCTTTCTATCTATCTATCTATCAATCAATCTATCTATCTATTTGTCTATCTATCTATCTATCTACCTTTCTATCTATCTATCTATCTATCAATCAATCTATCTATCTATTTGTCTATCTATCTATCTATCTATCTATCGCTCTCTGTGTGCTATATCGCGCGTACCATGGAGCCGTGGATGTACCTGGGTGCCTGGCTCACCACTGTGCGAGCTGGTGCGAGCCGGAGCGGGGCTCAGAGGCGCTTCCCATTAGCAAATGATAGACTTATATGTGGATTATATATATATATATAGTTATATATATAATTATATCTTTATATTTCTCTATAGTCTTTTTTTTTATAATATAGGTATATATATATAGGTTATCTCTGATTACCCCTGACTAATTCTATTGGTATATATATATAATATATGATATGTGTAGGTTGTCTCTGTTTCAATTGCAACACTCCGCTATGAGCTGCACCCACGAATAAAAATTAAGCCCCATCATAATTCAGTCATGGGCAATCAGCTGACACTGTTTTGTTGTGTAGACCATTGCATATTTATCCAGTAGCTAGACCCTCAAAGATCTGGTCATGACTCACGCATATAACAACTGGTAATGTCCCAAACCTTACCAAACCTTTGGGTGCAAACCATGCTCTTGAATATGGTGAGCCTAGGTAGGTTTATTCATCCTCATTGACCCCTGGATCAGTTGATCTTGCGATTTGTGATTTGATCATATTTGATCCATTCATCCGTCTTTATCCACTAGATCAGTAGATCTCATGCATTCTGATTTGATCACAAGAGGGTCTATTCATCATGATCTCCAATTTCATCCATATACATCCACTTGATCCACTTGATGTTTCTTATTTCACCATCATGTGACGGCCCGTTGGATCCCCGTGGCGGACCCATGACCCTCGACTGAGATTTTCATTCCCTGGGTGGACGCAATCGTTGTGAACTGGACCGTGGACTTCGGCGCTTAGAACTGGAGCGGAGTTCGGGAAGCGTCCGCGCCATTCGCTGCTGGCCAACTGGCTAGTGGTTTCACAAAAAGAATGTGTTTTCAATTTTTTTGTGCATTTTTTGGGGGTTCAACCGTACAGAAGGGAGGATTGCTTGAGATGACGAATGATGACGAACATATTTATTTGGGATATGTTGCAACCACCAACCAGTGCCCGCGCTTTGCTGTCTTTGAACTTTCGAAAGTTGTACAGTAGAAGGTTGCCAAATCTGTTGATTGATTCGTCGACTCAAAATCCGGCTGTTGTGTGATCTAATTTGCATGCCGTTTTATGTGACATTCTCTTTCGTTAAGACTGACGTTTTGAAACTTATCACATTACTTCACCTTCGGAAGCATCGGAAATGCTTTCAGCTTTAGTACAGATAAAGGACGTGAAAATATCGACCCTTGGCCGGAAAAGTACAGTAATTTGGGAGAGCACCAAAATATGCGACACTCAGAATGCAAATTCTGATTCATGATGATAATTACTGACAATCCAACAGGCAAAGTATTGGCAATGCTTTTTCACCATTTGGGTTCAAGGATGTTCAAGGGATCACCAATCAGTCCGCAGCATCTTTAAAATGGCCTCAGATCCTGAAAATTGGCCGGTGACGAAAGAGTTCCCGCAAAGCTGGGGGGCAGCCTTGGCAGCGGATCAATTCCTCAAAGGACTAGATGCTTCGCTGCTGCTCTCGGTGGATTGGGCAAACATTTCGCTTCCAACTCGGCACAGAGCATGCTCACAAAGTCCAAGGTCGTGATGGTTTGAGCTTCCCGACCCTAAGAATTCACTACCTTCTGAGCCACGATTGGAAAACCTCCCCAAGCAGAAGGTTCTGACCATGCTGATCTATTTCAACACCTTGGCAAAACATAGAAAGTGCTACTGACAATTCTACAAGGACTACAGTTCCAATTTCCCAGTTGCCGTTGCTGACCTTGGGTGTTTTTCCTTTGCTTTTGGCAGAGAGTCCGCAGCTTGGGAAACCAAAGATTGTTTTTCTGGACAAGCTACGTGTTGCGATCCAGACTTGAAAGCTGATTCTGCCCGTAGCCCGGGCACTGGGATCCCAGTGCTATTTCGCTGCTTGCCTTGGTATGTTTGGCTGGGATGGTTTGGGCAACCATCACTGGTTGGGCTTGTGGATGGAAATTCTGTCGATGGGCAGCTGCAAGAGTTCAGCGTGAAGGATTCAGAGTGTTTTTGCTGCGCAAACCATCACCAGCAGAAATGTGTCAAACCTTGCCTTGTGACCGTGCGAAGGTCGATGCTTTGAAGGAATGGTACGGGGAAGGTGCAGGCCAAAAGCACCTTGACAAATTCGATGCCGAAGTGCAAAAACCTTGCGCAAGCATATTTCAGCTATAAACTTTTGGTGCTAACACCATAATCGATCTCACAGTCCACTTTTGTGTTGCTGTTGTGTCGCATTTGCTCACCTTGGTTGTGCGACGCTGTCGCATGGATTCGGAATTTGTGGTTGTTGCAAAGTCCTGGTCCGGAGGTGGTGCTTAAATTCTGGAGATTTTTCTGGAGATATGCAGCGGCGCTCACAAGATTTTACGTGGATGCATGTGGATGCTGTTGATGTTGTTTCGGTGCAATTTTTTGCAGCGGGTGATCATCAAGCTGGGTGTCCTTTTGAAATGCCGCGGCTCCCAGCAGCCATTCTTCTGGCTCGTGGTTCTTGCTTTGATCAGATTGGAGCGTTGAAATACCCTCTGGTAATTTAACATAGCTATTGAAAATTGTGATTTATAGTGGATTTTCCCATTAAAAATGGTGATTTTCCATAGTTACGTTAGTTTACCAGAGGGTACTGGCCATATCTGGCCATTCTGAGAGAAGCAGATCTGTTTGATTCCTCTGCAAATGTGTCGAGATCGCCTGAAAACACGGCGTAAAAGGGGCCCGTGGGTTTGGTGGAGCCTTTTCGGGGAGCGTTGGCCGCGTCTCGTTGAGGCCCCGAGATGGCGATCCGAGCCTGTGAGGGCTATGCAGCCCGGGTCGCTCAGGGGTGCGGATTTTTGTGGAGACTTTGCTTGAGGATTTGATTTTATTTTCAAAAAAAAATCGCTCTTGGACATTGTTTTTCTATGTTTTCTTCCTCTCAAGGATTTCATGAATGAACTCAAAATCCCGGGATATTGAAGGCTTTCTTTCAGAGTCTCCTCTCTGGAAGAGTGCAGGGCTTGACATCCGTAGGAAAACCTTTTTTTAAATGCCCTTTGAGGGGAGTGTAGGAGAGCATGTTCCAAGTTTAATGTCATTTAGGTGTGATCATTTAGGTGTGATAGCTGCAACTGTAGGTATTCATGTTCCCCAGTTTCTTTGGTGTCCGGTGAATACCAAAGGATATAGATGCCCTTTCCCAGCGCTTGCCGGCTTGATTTTCGTTTAGTTCATCATTGATCTCCTCATGTCAACCAAGACAACAATAGTGTAATGACAGACCAAGGAATCTATAGGATTAAATAGGATTAATATATATTTTCTTATTGATGGCATAGGGTCCCCCCCAAGGCATCGGCCCCTTCCTCAGAAACTTCCCATTCTGCCAGGCTTTACCAAGCCTTGCAGACTGAGGCAACAGACGTTTGCTTCTCTCCACAGGTGCGGCACAGGAGACCTTAGGCAGATCCAAAGGCAGTCTTGAAGCTCCCGCATTTCATTTGGACTCATGGAACTGTACAGAGGAGAATCGAACTGACATCCATTTGAATCCTAAATCGGAATAGTTGGAAGAACTACTGCAATTGGACACCTTGTCCTAAAACGAATAGAAACCAAAGATGTACCTTTCGATATTCATGGGACATCTCCAAATTTCGTGAGGTTTTTGCGACAATCAGCCCATGAATCGTATGAATGGTGCCTTGATACAGTGCCGGGCAGGCAACACATCTCCTGGTGGCTGGCAGTGATCGCACGGCACTACTGGCAGCTTTCCTGATGGCTGGTACCCCAAAATCATCCAACATGGTTTAGAGAGAATGGGAAAAGCCATGGGAAAACCCAACGGTTTGGGGTACCAATATTTTAGGAAACCTCCACTTCTCTTCATTTTTGTGTGTCATTGGTGGTTTTATCCAAAAATCTCCTAAGAAAACAACGCAGGTAGATCAAGAAAGAGCCCTAAATCTTGACCGCAGCGCAAGCTGGGTGTTGGTAGAGTCGGTCATTGTTTGTATGGGAATTTCAGGATCCTAAAATGGAGGTACTGTACCATATAAGGCCATATTTTGTGAGGATATTCCCTACACAGCCCTTATATAGACCTTATATGCCTTATATATATGGTAGGTACCTGTAATATCCTCTAATTTAGGTCCGTGAAGTGGCAATTGATTGTTTGTGAGGCTAGATTTGTTGTGCATCACGTGTGAATCGCCCATGACAATTTGGCCATTACATTCTGAATGAAGACAGGTAGTTGCTTGGACCGCAGCCATTTCAGGATGGATTTGTTTCAGAGTTCCCGCCGCAGCATGATTTCCGTCATGGCGTGGCAGTTGACCGCTGGCGCGACAGCTGGTGGTGGATTGTAGCATTCAGCAGTGCTGCAGCTGCCGCTGCAGCAGGTCTCTTGGCTGTTGAATTCCTGCTTTCTTATGGGGTACCCCCAAGTGTTGCTATTAAAAATGGTGCCCTCCCCAATTAGGTAAACAACCCAGAGGTTTATAAATCCGGAGCTGACATTGATATAGATTCATATAGTGGCTGCAAACCAATCCATGCTGCATGCTCACTAGTTTACACATATTATATATTCAGATTGATTCAGAATGATGCAGCATGCAAGAATGAGTATGAATTCAAACTGTTGTGTTCGCCAATGTTGATGCTGTTGGATCGTACCCTTGTCACTATGTTCTTTGAAATCCAACATCCAACTCAGTTGTATTACGAAAATGCACATTTGTATGACTTCCCTCGGCTGATGACGATAAATATGATGTGTGTCGCCTTGACTGCTGACTTCACATCAATTTCAAGAAATCCAGAGTGCCCCTTTCAGTGGCGCTTGCCCAGGTTTGGGTAGATGTCATCCATTGAAGTTCACAACTTAAGTGGACCTCTTTGTACCTTGTCGCACTTGCTCAACATCGGCCTGCGGTAGTCTTGCCTGTTGGAAGCTTTGTTTGTTAATTTCTGTTAGGAGAATGACTATCATAGGACATGGCTGCGGGGTAAGTTCATTCCTTTGTTCCAATCCCATGAAGGCTCCTGGTTTGGCGTCCCAGTTGGTCAGCTTGCATTATTCACCCTTGGGCCATTGTACTTGTACCTGTACAACCATGGATATTCACTAGTCACTAGTTACTCACGGTGATGGTGCCTTCTGGTTGTGAATGGTTAAGTGAACTACAAATAGTGGGCTTTCCACGTGGGACCTACTTACATGTTGCTGAATTGGCTAAGTGGATGCTAAGTGCGGTACATCATGCAATGGTATACCATTGGTATATCCCATCAATGCATCCCAATATCTTGACAGCGACTTCAATCACTTCCGAGCCACAGTATAGCTAGTCGTTTGAGATTTTAGTATAGTTCCATAGGACCATCCCAAATATCATGCTGTTGCTGATATATCCCATGAATTTCCCAACGTTTTTGTTCCATGTTTGTTGCTTAAAATCCCCGGTAGTGTTTTACCCCGGTGGCCAAAAAGAGACCCGACAGGTACTGTGACCCTGGAATCCAACAGCACTGTGGCTGACCTCAAGGTGGCTCTCGCCAAGGTGCCACAACAACCCCATTTTTTTTGAAAACTGGCGGTAGCTCATGCGCTTAAGGCCCTTTACATCCCTCTACTGTAACAGTATACCTACCAGTTATGAGTTTCAAGTTATAATTCCGTTTATGGAATGATAAGCCCATTTAAGACCATGTATAACTGGTAAAGGGCTTTCACTGTGGTGGGTCATAGAGTAAGTGTCCCCAAACATGGCCGCACTTTCAGGTGAATGGGGAAATAGTTTCCCCAGATCAGGTGATATATTTTGTACCCCCATGACCCCTGGCCAATCAACACGCTTCAGGATGTAGGGGATTTAGAAATTCCATAATATTGGGGGATGGAATTGCTTAATCATATGGCCAATCGATGAGTGTATGCTGTTTCCTCAAGATTTTCAATCGGCGCGTTTATCATGTTTCCTGATTTTTCACACACACATACCCACGTAAACTTTGTGATGCATGTTGGGAGGTTTCTCTTGGGGAGCAGCTACTACTGTGGGGTTGGGAGTTACATCAAGTCAGGCAGTTACCAAGTCAGGCAATGCTTTGATCCTTACCATATTCCAAGAATTTCAAGGAAAGAACTGCAGAAAAACCTGATCCAAGGCAAACAACAAAATGTTAAGATGTTTGTCATTTTTGGTCACTAAATAATCTTAAATCGCCAATCTTTAGTTGGTCACCAGTTTTGAGTGGCAAAGCGCTCCCAACATCGCTACTCCAAGGACCATAGATAACTTTTTCCCCTTGACTATAGCGGAGGGGTCCCCTCCGTACAACACCCAATATAGGCAAATGATTCATCATAAAACGGACAGGGGAATCATCCCCAAATGGCCAAACTTTTCAGATTAATGATTTATGACATAATTTATTCAGATCCATTGTGTCCGTCACTACACATGAAAGGTCCCATCCATTGACATGATAGGCTTTGTCACCCACTGGTGGATCTGGAGTTCGTAATCACTGGGCTGTGGGCAGCCCAAAAGTAGACCTACCATTTGGACATGGTTTCTACATGTTTATACCACCCATAAGAATGGTGATTTTGTGATGTTGGGGATGGTAAAACCAGCATTACAGCATTGGGTTTACATGGGTTTATCATGGTTTACCACACTAAAAATGTGATTTCTCCAGATCGACCAGTCGATCAAACAGGTGTTGCGTGTGCCACGTCGTCAGCAGCGGCTCATCTCCGGGAGCAGCCCCCTGGAGGATTGCCAACGTCACTTGGCGAACGCCAAGTCGTTGGTGGTGGCTTGAAGCAATCCCTGATATGTGGGGCTTAGGGGAACCAGAACTACTCAGAAAATATGTAGGAGTTTTACAATTTGTGGATTTATATACGGATACAATTAGTTGTTACAAATCGGAAAGTGTTGGACAATTAGGATGCAATTGGTGGATTTTTTGACGATTTACCATGATTTGAAATTAAACTCAGAGAAACATAGGGAATCTGGACGGAAGTAAGGAATTTAGCCAGAAAATGGCAATATCCCATTCCAAAATATCAAATACCCCTCATAGGAAGGCACTCCCCAGGTGTGTTTGTTGGTTTACAACCCTATCTAACTATTGCATACTATTGCTACACATATACCCACATAGATCATATCAATCCTAGTTGGCCTATTTGTCAACCGCCTTATCGAGTGGTCCCACGTCGCGGGACTTCTGGTGCAGTTGTGTCTTGGACCAAGTTCCAAGGGTCTACAGGCTACCCGCGGATTGATACTTTGCACGGTCTACTTGATACGGCGTAGGACTTGATGCACCTACCATCTATAGGCTTTACATTTGATCATCATTTGATCATCATTTGATCATCATTTGATCATCATTTGATCATCATTTGATCATCATTTGATCATCATTTGATCATATTTGATCATCATTTGATCATCATTTGATCATGAGCAGACTGAATGTGCAGTGTTAATGTTTATAATAGTTATAGTTATATATATATATAGATAATTATTTGCATAGTTATGGTTATAGTTATAATAGATACCATTCTATCTATATAGGTATATTATAGTTATATTATAGTTCATATACTGATATAAATATAAATAGTATAGATTTCCCTGTCATTTTCTGTGGCTTTACCACCCAAGGCCTGGAAGAGCTGGGCGAGCCACGGGTCACCTTCGTTCGCATCACCTACTCCGCGGCCACCTTGGAGTGGCGCCTTCGAGTCAGAGATGTGGTGCAGTGGTGCATTTGTTGTTTTAACGTAGCATAGGGCATAGGGTATATACTATATATACCAATGTGATTGCTTATATTTATGATATAATTCGGATTAATTTGGTATGCACGCATATTTTTCAATTTTTGGTATTAATATAATGTGTTTATTGGTATATAATCAACAAACTACTGGGTAATAAAGGGATACGATGATATAAACCAGATTTTTCCAAACCATATTATGATACTAACTATATTATACATACACACATATATATATATAACTTGGTTAATTTGGGTATAACAATGCCATACATACACCACCCATGACTGGGAAATAGTGAACATACCACCTTTCAAAAAAAATAGGTGATTTTGGGAATGGATTATGATGAGGTGTTACCCACATTACTGCATGTTTAGAAAACATGCTCTAGTCTTTTCAAGTACTTTTTGCTAATTTTGCTTGAAAATAAAGTGATTGGGCTGCTATTTGGATCAAAAAAAATCCTTGAAATTGTTGAGCATTGAAATCAATGCTCAAATTAGCGAGGAGTTGAACAAAGGATAACAAAGGTGCGTTTAATGTCATGTCCATGTTTTGCCCCATTCTGCCCTATGCAATATCAGTCATTTCTGTATTGATACATCGAGTCTTCGTTCGTAGCGCTTTCCTTTTGGATGACAGTGTAGTGGACTTTTTTTTGAGATTTAATCGATCAGGAAAAGTAGTTCCCGTCCAAAGGGCCCTAATTTTGCCGTTTTCTCATGATTTCCCCTGTTTTCACCACGACCTACCCCTCCATCATAAGCGAATCGATAATCAGCATTAGTCACCATTAACCACTATTGACCACTATATAAACCATGAAAAACACTATTAACCATTATTATCAATCTTAGTTAGTCAATCAGATTTGAAGTGTCACTGCCACACTCATTGGCTCGCCATCTCTTAAGCTATGTAAATTTGTTGTGTGCAAGATGCACTTTCTTAAAGTTCCCGCCCACAAAAACCTTCATAAAAGTTCCCGCCCACAAAAACCTTCATAAAGACTTCAAAAACCTTCAAAAACAATAAAACGCCTACACATCGCAAAAGCTATAAGTCCTGCTAGGTCCTAGGTGAAATTGCGTTTTGAGTGTTTGACAATATGCCCCAAAATTGACAGACAATCCGAGGATGCGGTACATGGAATAAAGTTCAGGACTGGTTTTTGGAGATATTGGTCAAAACGTCTACTGTTTTGAATTAGCGCCTGGAAAAGCAGCCAAACAACCCTGTCAACATGGGCCGTGCTGGCCCAATTCAATCAAAATAAACTGTAGCACAAAGACCTTGTGTCTAAAGATAGATGTTTGGGGAATGTTTTGCACATGACAAGACAAGTTGCAATGATTTCAACCGCAACCAGCGTCATGGAGCAAAGATGGAACGACTGGGTGAAAGCCGCGCAGAACCGATGATGGGTGAAAACTTGAAGTATAACCCCTGAAAGGCCCGCTCTCTCAGGGGATACACCCCAATTTGCCTGTGTACTGTAAGCCACTTAGTGTTGAAATATCCGACATTTAAGGTTTAATCATTTCTTCGCTGGCAAAATTCCAGTTGCCAACACAAAAAAGCCTTTCGTATATGTAACCTATTTTGGTACCCTTTGTAAGTGGTAGATGAAGGGATAAAGCCCGCGAATTCATCATGGTTTATTATATACCGTACGAGCATCATTTTTGGGGATCATTGTAACTAGCCATTGGTGAACGGTGCCCGAACATGGATTGGATTAGTTATTTTCACTCTTTGCCATGAATGTAATGTGGGCAAAGCAATTTCATAAACCATCCCCCAGTCATCAACCTTTTTTAGGTGGTATGTTTACCATTCCCAATCATGGGGGGTTCATGATTGTTTTACCAACTGTATCTGGTTGGTGGTTTCAAACATTTTTTATTTTCCACAATATATGGCATCATCCTTCCCAGTGACGAACTCATATTTTTCAGAGGGGTTGAAACCACCAACCAGTTGTAGTGTTATCTCATTATCCCATCCATTGCAACCCAAATCCTGGGATGATTTCCTGGGGCAGGTCCAGAACCTCAGCCCCATCCTCCCTACTCGGCATCCCAGAGGCAACGTGAGTTGTTTAGTACCGATAAAATATAGGTATACATGATATATGTACATATATACATATATATATATGCAACTGGCTTTTATATGATTATTAACCACCTAATGATGTTAATGGGATGCACCCCCAGTTCTGTTTGTTGCTTTATATCCCCCATGAATTAGTTCGATCTATCTACCATAAACACCACATAGTTCACCTATAGTTCAACAAAATTAGCCAACATAAATCAGGTATATCATTGATTTTTCCATTCGGTCCCCATTTTTCATGATTAAAACACCATTTATTATGCTTAAATCCCAATGTTTCATGGTTTTTGCGCACCATTATGTCCACCAACTTCGCCATCGGCATCAGGATGGCCCTGGTCCGCCGGAAAAGCGCCTTCCTGTCAAACGCGCCTTTAGAGGTGCGAAACGACCACGAAGTGGTGCTGACGGCCATGCAACATGTTCCTTGGAGCCAACGCATGGGGGGATGTGGATGTGGATGTTTGGATTCCAAACTTTTTGTTGGATCTGAAATCATTGAGAGTTGTTCAATGAGTTTTAGTTAGTGGGATCTTCATTCGTTGAAATTTGGGATGATCATAATCCATGATGTGAACCCCTATTCATCAAGCACCATTTGATTTTCCAATCTTCTCCTGGGTGCATGGCTGGTAGCTGGTGTTTTGAAAGGGTCATGTCAAATAAACATGACCCACATACTAACCACAACTAGGCAATTGTGGTGATATCTACATACAAGGTGGTTGACCCCAATAGTGCTTGTTGGTTTCCAATGACAATTGGCTATGTGGATATATCTATCCCTGTACCAGTTACTTTGCGTTAGTTTAATCAACTTAGCGAACAGAAATCAATATCAATCAGCATTAAAAACAGCTAAATACGCATCCCGGATCAATCTAAGTTACTACCCTCTGGGAAACGTTTAACTATGGAAAACCACCATATTATGGGTAAACCAACTATGTCTATGACCATTTTCCAGTTCGCAAACTGTTAGTTCACCGCTGCAGCTTCGCCTGGAGCATCCCAAAAGAGGACCGCGATGCCATCTGCTGGGCGGCGGAACAGATCCTGAACGACCGCGACTTTGCATTTGCGGTGGCTGCCCGGCATGGCCAGGCAACGGGCGCTCCAAAGCATGGCAGTTGGGGACAACGCCTTGGGTCGAAGAACTTCATGGGATTTGTCGAATTTTTGGTGGGATGCTGAAGCGTCAAGCGATGTTTACTTTTTGTATCTTTTTGTCTGCATTGTTTGGAGTAATTGCAGCCAAGAACAGGTGTTGTTCTTCAAACATTTGGTCTCGACATGTCTTGACCGTCCATTTGAACCTATTTTATTTTGAGCCGTTTATCAACTAAAGATCGCGGAACAAACATGCAGCGTCGATATTCCATTCCTTGCTCACTCGCGAATGTGTTTGAAGGGTCAAAACCGATCAGCTATGTTAGGTGGCCAAGCATTTCATACATTTTCATACCATCTATGAATGGCATGTTTACTTGGCTGAGTAATTTTGGGGGTTAAAGATGCAGGTGGACCTAGGTTACAATCACCAGGAAACGCAATCGAACATGGCTGGCTGACTTGAAACTGGCTTTACCACTGAGCCTTGCATCGGATAAACGGTGGTTCATTGTTGCAAGTGCGAAATATGCTGGTCAAAGGAGGTTATAAAATGTTATAAATGTCCACTGAAGATCCTGAAAAATTGCGAGGCCTTGCAGCATTTGACCTCTTGGCAGGGTGTTGCTCGGCGGAGAGCGCTGGATACATTGCATGTGCGCGATCCCATGCGTTGCCTCCCAAGGGGGAACTTCATTTTGCTGATGAAATCACCCAAGTTGGCTGATCCAGTCGCCATTTCTACTCGTTCAATCCCAATTTCCGCTGGTATCCTGTATTATGAAAATTTTCCCTTGAATAAACACATTAGGAGGAACACACCTATTTTCTTGGTACCCTCCAGTAAATATATATATAATTTATATATAATATAATCATATATAGATATACATGTCAGTGTGTATACTTACATATAATATTATATATATACATATATATATATATATTATGAGCTAAAATGTACTTATATATATATATATAGAGTTTTATATATGGAAAAGCCACCAGTTCTCTTGATCCCAGCCGTTCGTTCTGAATCGCCAGGATCCATCCATCGTCCTGGCGGCGGTAAGCCAAGACCCCAGTGCCATCGAGTTTGCCTCACAGAGCCTGGTGAGTCAACAGGACTTCCTGCGCCTGGGCGCGCTGGGATGATTTTTTCAGTGGGGTTTCCTAAAGTCATGGGGGTCCCCAAAACATGGAAGGGGTTTATTTCATGGAAAAACACATGAAAATCCTATGAAGATTTATTTATTGATGTTTATGTCATGGAAAATCCTATGAATATCATTGAAAATGGATGATTTAGGGGTACCCCCCCCATTTTAGGACACCTCCATTGTTTTTGATACTCTCTGGTAATTTCAAGGTTTGCGAACTGGAAAATCACCATTTGATTTTTAACCAGCTAAGTCATCATGTTTGTCATCGAACCGGGCCATGGCTCCATAGCTATGTTAAGTAACCGGAGGGTATGTTCGGTGCGTATATGATACGATATACAACGCATATAGGAAAGGGATTCCCTTTCCTATATGCTTTGTATATCGTATCATATACGCACAGATATTGTGTTTATAACTAACTTAAGAATACTTAAGATCTATTGTTATATGGGTAAGTACCTACACCTTCATTAGCCACTGACCACCCCAAGAAGTTGAGCAAGCAGGGCTCGTTCTTTTGGGCATATTTTTGGAGGTACTTTGAGGGTAGGTTTAAAAATGTTTAAAATATCACAGAACCCCAGAGACCCATAGACCCATAGGCTCATAGGAGTGGGGATATAGCTGTTCGACTGTTGTTTGTTGCATGACAATAGTTGCTTGTTTCAACATGTTGGTGAAGGCGAGGTTGATCCAGCTGCTGACTTAACGGATTTTTCTGGTGCTGGGATTGCATTTTTTGATTGTCTATTTTCATAGTTAAAGGATGTTCCCGTGATTTTGATGACTCACCCCATGATTTTTTCCTTATAACCTATAACCTTAGATACCATGTTAATGTTGACTCAGCCCATGATTCTTCACTAAAATCAATCACATTAGATACTAGATACCATTTTTAATAGCCAGTTAATAGCATATGTTACTGATACAACTTAGAATTTCAGATGATATTTCCCCAGCATTTGACCCAACTTGGGAACTAGTGGGTCCATTAAGGATCGACGCCATCCAGTGCAGCAAGGGTCATGTCTTGCAGCATTTGAGCCGCGGGAGCTCAGATTTGGGAATGGCTTGAGCCGGCGTGTTATGGCCATTGATTAGTTATGACTGGTTATTTCTTTTGGATTATACATTCCATAAATGGGGTGACTTAGTACTTTTAACTGGTATTTCGGGCCATAACTGTACACCCCCCCAAATTCACAGGCCACAGGGATCCTTCCATGAGTTGGGGATTGGGAAGATGAATTTCCACTTAGCATTGGCTATTTTCAGGGTCTATGTTCAATAACCAGAGGCTATTTCTTGGCAGATTTGGCTTTGCATGTTTTTCCCCACCTGCCAGGTGAGGGTTGTTAGATTTTATCAGAGCTGTTCTCCTCCTCCTCCGCCTCCTCCTCCATCTCCTCCTCGTCCTCCTCCTCGCGGTCCAGATCCCAGTGGGCACAGCCGGACCTCCACCGCGAGCTCCAGATCCCAGTGGGCACTGCCGGACCTCAACCGCGAGTTGCAGATCGCAGTGGGCACTGCCGGGCCTCAACCAAGACTTCCAGGTCGCAGTGGGCACTGCCGGACCTCAACCGCGAGCTCCAATCCCAGTGGGCACTGCCGGACCTCAACCGCGAGCTCCAGATCCCAGTGGGCACTGCCGGACTTCAACCGCGACTTCCAGATCGCAGTGGGCACTGCCGGACTCAACGGGAAGAATGTCAGAAAAGATGTCAGATAGAATGACAGAAGATATGCCAGATAGAATGCCAGAAGATATGTCAGATAGAATGCCAGAAGATATGCCAGATAGAATGCCAGAAGATATGTCAGATAGAATGCCAGAAGATATGCAAGAAGATATGTCAGAATATATGCCAGATAGAATGCCAGATAGAATGCCAGAAGATATGTCAGATAGAATGCCAGAAGATGTGTCAGATAGAATGCCAGAAGATATGTCAGATAGAATGCCAGAAGATATGCCAGATAGAATGCCAGAAGATATGCCAGATAGAATGCCAGATAGAATGCCAGAAGATATGTCAGATAGAATGCCAGAAGATTTGCCAGAAAGAAAATGTATAAATGTCATTGTGGGGATCACACGAAGTAAAGTATTTTTTTTGTAGATGTCGGCAGGTTTTCTTTGTTTTCTTTGGCGCTACAGGATTATCGATGTTGATCCATGTGTGACTCAGGAATTGGGATCACTACTTGTTGGAAACAACAACAAATTTACTGTAGTTCAAACATGTTTACAAGGTGATAGACTTGATTCAAATTGCAAGATTGTTCGATGTTTTCACTTTTCTGTTTCCATCAAATGAAAATCACGTGAAAGCCGGACATCACCGGATCCCACTTTGTTGCCACGGGGTCAAACGCCCAGCCGAGGTCCTGAGGTGCAAGAGGAAGTGGCTTTGCAGAAAGCCGCCGTGAGCTGCAACTGGCTCATGTTGGAGCACTTGGCTCAGAAGATGCCAGACATACGCAGCTCGGAAAAAAACCGGAAAAGAACCAGTTGGGCATGGTGAATTTATAAGTTGAAATGGCCCATTTTGATGATTTACATACGAAACATGGTGCTTTAGATGATTTATTTGTGAACAATTTTGATTTCCCACAGCCTTAAACTACCAGAGGGCATACCGTAGGAATTCAAGGGGTTGTGGGGTGGGATGTTGATGATATTACATGTGACAGGCGGGGCGCAAAACTTTGGTTTGGGCCTTCGAGTGGGCTTAGAATGATTAGACCTAGCCCCTGCAGAGACACACAGCACCACAATTGGCGCATTTTACCCCTCCAACATGTTGGCATAGAATGGTATAGATGTTTACCATGCTTGCCTATTTTGTTACCTACACCACTGCATTATAAACATGGAATTATCACCATGCATTGTACACTTGACGTTGCTGCTATCATTTTCATTATTGCAATCATTATGCTATTAATGTGGTAAATCCAATAATGAACCATCCCCCAACATCACATTTTTTCTTGTTTTTTTTCTGGTATAAACCATCCCCAAATAGTAGGTTTATGGCAGCTAGGGTTTCCCACATTACCCATGCTGGCTGATGTGACGATCGCGAGGTGGTCTTCCATGCAGTGGCTACGCACGGCTGCGCCCCTTGGGCCTTGGTCCCCAAAACCTTGTCGCATACTATGTACTTTAATGTGTTCTATATTGTGTATTGTTTACATATTATTGCATATTATCACTAAATTTAGAGACCCACATACGCATACACACATTATATAATATATATATATATACGCCAGTGTCAAAGCGTCAACAGCATGCCAGCTCCAGAGCGCTCCATGTATGGTCTAATTACCAACAGTTGAAAAAAAATCGGGGTAAGTGTGGGTAAATAACCATACGTGGAGGATGCAGGGAAACACTAAATCAAGGTCCTCGAATCATACCCACGAATCATACCCCGAATCATACCCACGAATCATACCCCCTAGTCAAACATCCCGGGTTGGGTTCGGTATTTTGAGACATACCCATATATATATATGTATATTATATATTTATATATATATATATATATATTTATATGTATATTATATATATATATATATATGTATGTATGTATGTATGTATGTATGTATGTATGTATGTATGTATGTATGTATGTATGAATATATACCCTGAACCGGTTTGATGCCTCTTTTGAACAAAAGGCTCTTTTTGGGGCAGCGCCAAAAAACTATGTTCAAAGTACGGCCTTGTCCAAAATACGGCCTTTTCGTTTTCCAAGCAGAACATGCTCTTACCCAATCGGCATTTGAGAACATGTTCAATGCAACGGTATCATGTATGCCAATGTCACCATACACAACCAGGAAGGCATTGAGTACAAGAGTGAAGCCCCCAGGACACAGACACTGGCTGACGATAGCACACAGGCACTCAAACCATGTACCTTTGCCTAACGCTCAGCATCCACGGACATCTTGGTTGGACCCTAGTCTAGACCTTGCTCAAAGACTGCAGCCCTCATAACAAAGTTATTTTGGTCCTTTTTAAAAGTTACATTGGGTGCGGTTCACTATGTTTCACTGCTGATTGAATATGTATAAGCCTGAGAAGCAACAACGACAACCACTCAAGGTTATAAACAATGTAGTTGGCACCAAAACATGCCATAGCAGCATTGAAGCATAAGCACGCAAGACAAAAAGAAATCATGCAAGGAACCGCACGAAATGCTGTACCAAACAAGAAGGGTTGGAAAGCACAAGGATATTTGAGTGCCGCTACCACCTTTGGAAAGCCTTTGGCCGCATGCATCAAAGAAGGTTGCTGCTTGTCGTTTTTGGTGTCCTAGGAACCAAAAAGGTGAATCGAAACCAAACCTAGTTTACATATGTATGCTGTAGGTAGAAGCAGTATAGACAGGCCAATGATCCGACATCGGCATGGCAGGCGGGCTGAGCATTCAGATATGCACGCAATCCTTTTCGAGATTTGAGTGTGCGAAAACAAAGCCAAGGTTACCTTGCAATCCTTGCAAATCATGTTCCCTGTCATTCACTTTTCTTTGGAAACAGTCAAGAGCACGGGAGCAAGCACTTGGTCCTCAGGTAAACATCAAACCAGCACGTGAACCTGCAATGCCTCTTGTCAAAGCTCCAAGTGCAACAGCCCAAACCAACCCCACATTGATATCGGAAAGAAATTGGCTGGAATTCATCAAACAAAACCCACAAAATCATCACACATCACACGATACTACAGGAAAATCGCATTGACAAAAATAAGAGCAAATACGGGAAAAGTACGTATTTTTGTACGCGTTTCTACGGCCTTTTACGGGTAAAATACGGCCTTTCTACCGGTCGGGCCTGGGATCCGTACCCGGTACGTATTTTATACGTAAAAAGTACATTTTTGTTGTTTTTCGCCAAGATTAAGTGCACCAGCCTAAATCTGTAAGAATTGCTCAAAATCCTAGACCAATGCCCAAGTCTGTAGACAAAGTTTTGACTCGTGTTGGAAGTACAGAATGCCTCGACACACGTCAAAACATCATATTACAGACATTTGTTTTTTTGCACCATGTCGTTTGGTTCTAGTGTTACTGATGGCATCTTGAAGAACAATTGTCCAAGCTGCCACTGCTTCAACTGAAAGTTGAGTGAAATTGCAGATACAAAAGGCCACTAAAGAACATCAAAAACGCAAACGTCAGCGAATTGGGGTCAGAAAGTCTGTACTGGCAAGATTAATCACCTAAAATGCCTACAACCTCATGTGGGTACAACAGCAACTGCCTCATAAATAGTTTCCAACCAGGCTTCCTTGGGAACAAACTCACCAGCATGTTTGTATCATTTTGTATCAAAGGTTGAGGTGTCAGAGGCCATACTGTGAAAGACAGCGTTTTTCACAACAACACCTGTCAAAAAAGTGACAAACATGTTATCACAGAATCACTGAATCGCTATGGCTGTGGAAGAATGAAGCAGCTCGCAGAATGAAGCGTCAGATGCAAGCATGTTGTTCCTTGAAGCAATCTATAGTCTAAAACACATTTTGTTTTGGCTCCCTACAGCCACATGAAAGAGCCTGGGTACCATCACGCACAGGGTTTGACACAAATTATCGATCTCGCAAATGCAACCTTCATTGCTTTTTATCTTGCAAGTCAGGCCCTTGCTTTGTTCAGGGAAGGTTTGTTTCGGTAGATTGGTTCGGTCTTGGAACTCAGGTTCTCAAAATAATGCAAGCTGCACGAGGGTGCATTGGAGCATCAGGTGTCAAGAAGTTAAGCTGACAATCATTTACCACATTTGCTGCAGCACCCAGCGCACCAAAATCATAAAAGATCTGACCTGCAGAAATATTGCTGTAAATGAAGAAATGCATAGGAAAAGCAAAATCCTAGTCATTCACTTCACAACCCCGTTTTGCGGTAATTATAATTTGGCATTTTTTATTTTACAACATTTTCATCAAAGACTTGATTGAATGGCTATTTCATGGTTTGATCCTTTCGAGTTTGCCAACATCTACATATCGGCGGTTTCATGACCCAGTGTGTCTTTGTCACCAATATCAATATCCAAAATACGGTCTTTTGCAAAATACAGCCTTTCAATCAAAAGACGCTCTTTTGGACCCAGGGGTGTATTTTGAAATAGGTATCTAAAGAGATGCTATATATATACACATATATATATATATATACGTTTTTTTTACATATAGACATATTCTAGGCACCCACATACATGTATAACCATGTGCATATATATATATAGAAAATGTATATGTGAAAGTAAATACAGGTACATCTTTAATATCTAGACATAGTTACATCCATCCTAAATTACACGCACGCATATCACATATCTATCTCTCTCTACATACATATATATATATACATATATGTGTGTGTGTGTGCACAAATGGATATATCATATAGAGACTATTGATGTACATTCTTATCCAAAACAACATACACCCATACATGGATATATAGTATAAATTTCAGATAGATATAGACAGCCGATGTACATCCTATTTATTTATTTATATATATATATACTAGATAGCTAGATAGCTTGATAGCCAGCTAGATAGCTAGGCATCCATCATAATATACATCCTTCTCAAAACAAAAATAGATATGTATTATCACGTGTATATATATATATACAATCATAGCTAGCCAGATGTCTAGCTCCATATTGATAGCTATATATCTACAAAATCTACATATTAATATATATAATGATATATATATATATATTATTTATATAGCCAAACAGATCGTTGATTTAGGCCCTCGAGTTCGCCTCGGTCGCGCTGCGCCGCGACACGGAGCTGGTGCTGCTGGCGCTGCAGCGCAGCCGCGGCGCGGCCTTGCGCTGGGCCGACGAGACGCTGAAGGGACGGAGGCGCCCGATAGGGACGGTGGGAAGGTATTTTCCCATGGATTTAGCCACTAAAGATGGCGATTTCATGACTCAGACTGGATGATTTAAGGAAGATGTACCTATTAAAAATGATGATGTAATGTAGATTTACCTACTAGAAATAATCTGGTTTAATGGCTAACATTGTTGAATCAACAGCAAAAAATGCTGATTTAATGGCTGAAAATTACGATTTAATTGCAAAAACTTGTGATTTTATCGCTAAAACCGATAAGTTGACATAACCCAGCGCATAGGAACATGCACCATTTTAAGCGCCGTTTGTAGATCATTTCCGGGTTTCACCTTAAGGGTTTACCATATCTTTTTGGATAGCTCACCCTGTCCGCTATAGGGACTTGGTTTGTGTCGCCCTCCAAGAAGATGCCGCCAACTTGCAATATGCCTCCGAGGAGCCTGGGGCACAGTGGGGATCCAACTTTGAAAAAATCCAGGAGCCTAAGGCGCTACCAAGAGTTTCCCAACCACATGTGGTTGGTGTTTTGGAATAAACTCTTCCAGCCCGTGAGGAGGCTGTTCATTCTAGTGTTTGGGTGGTTCGGTCGCCATGAAGGGAGATCATGACTCCAACAATGATGAGCTTCGATATCTGTTTGTGCCCAATTGGTCCAGGTTACCTGTTGGAACATCAGTTTCAGTTGTTGCTTCTGATTTGGTTTGGGAAAACAACACTGGTTTGGGACTTTTGTCGCCGGGTGAGCAACGGGTAAGAATTTGTGGACTAATTCCCCCGGAAGCTGTTGGACTCCCTACACTGACCTTGCTGGGTGCCTCTTTCTTGAGTCTGTCTGGTCCCTATGGTTTGGTGGATTTGTCTGTTGATGAGTCGTGCCGAGTTCTGTGTCACCAGAAGCCGACCATGTCCCATGTCACCAACTACGTTGAACTTTGCTCAGGTGCTGGTTTTTCGTCTCTGGGTTTCACACTGGCTGGATTTGTCCCTAGGTGTGCTGTTGAAGCCCAACCCAAGTTAGCAGCGTTGCACAAAGTCATGCATCCGAATGTCCCAGTGATCACGGCAGATATCACTGATGATGCCACCGCAGCCTTGATCCACGATGCCTGCCCTGAACCAGCCACCATCATGGCAGGGATTGCATGCCAGCCTTACAGCCGAGCCGGCAAACAAGATGGGGGACAAGATGCAAGAGCTGCGACTCTCCCTGCAGCAATGAGGTTGACCCATTGGTTGCAAGCACCTATTTTGGTGTTGGAATGCGTGGTTCCAGCCAGGTCAAATGAATATGTCTTGGCCCATCTCCGTGAACTGGAAACCCAACTGAGGTATCATGTTGTTGACTGCACTCTGAAGCTTGAAGATACCTGGTCAGCCAGGCGGTACAGGTGGTGGATGGTAGCAACACACCGTAGGCTTGGTAGGGTTTACATCCCTGACTACCCCAAGGGTTCACCACTGGTTGTAAGGGACCTCATGCCATACACCAGACGATGGAGTGCGTTTGAAGAAGAACAGTTGATGTTGAATGCCTTGGAACTTGAGAGGTTCCAGTTGGGAGGTGATCCCCTCAGGAAATACCTGGTACGTGCAGACCAGAAACTCCCAACAGCCTTGCATAGCTGGGGTGGTCAAACACAAGGATGTGCCTGTGATTGCCGTGCCCTCGGTTTTGCAGATGTCACATTGCAGTCCAGAGGGCTGTTTGCCCAGTTGCTTCAGATCCCTGGCTTGGGGAATCAGATCAAATACAGGCATTTGCATGCCATCGAGGTGGCAATCCACAACGGGGTTCCCCCAATGCAAGCATGGAGCTCAGATGCCAGGTTGAACTTGTGCGCCATTGGACAACTTGCCAGCCCAATGCATTCGGTTTGGTTAGCTGCATCCATCACTGCACATGTTCAGAAACTTTTCACGCATGACACACCAATTGACCCGATGCAGACACTTGGCCAGTTGAAACAGGTTGTCCTGATGCAAAGCAAGGAGTTTTTCCCTGCCATCCCACGTGCAGGGCACATTGCCCTGCCCGAGCAGAGTTGCAGTGCTGACCCAGGTGCCAACTGCCAGATCGATGTGCATGATGGCCTAGGAGTGTCATGGAAAGTGTTGCATCAGCCAAGCAGCACGATCAAACAACTGATCGAAGCAGAATGTGATTTGCAACACATGCCGCTGTACGATGTTCAAGCTTGTGGCGTGGACGGAATTGTCCTTTCAGATGACCTTCTCCTCCGAGAAGTTCCTGTAGTAATGTTGAAGAAGCCTGACAGTTCACATGTATCCATGCCAGTTGATGAGTGCATGCCACAGGTCCCATTCACGCCTGAAGATTTGTTGCCAATGCCTGATGCGGAGCCTTTGTCACCCTACGTGCCTGCCGTTGCTGTAGTTGCCACACAGGTTGACTCTGATGTTGACATGTCAGGACTTGAAGCTTGCACACCTTCACATGGAGTCCAGTCAGTCCGGGTTGATTCTTTGTCTCATGAGGTTGCTTGTGATAGGTCGGTTCAATCCTTGCAGTCCCTGTCCCCAGCCAGTTTGCTTGCCATGTTGCCACCGTTGGTGCAAGATGTGATCATGTGTGAGACGTTGAGATCCCACCGTTTGACATGGGCATGCCGTGAGCAGCTCCTACTGTTGCAGGAACATGTTTGGGCCGATGATGAAATGCTTTGGCATTTGCAAGCTACAGTAGCCAACTCACGCAAACCTGCTGTTGTCTTAGATCCTCTGCTTGCCAGTACATGGACTTCCACTGGCACTGTTGATTGTGTACGAGCATGGACTGAAGCTATCACTGAACCGGCAGACAGAATTGTCTCAGCTGTGCTGATGCATGGACATTGGACACCGGTTGTTTGGATTGTCAAACCAAATTGCCTTGAAGTGCACTTGCATGATCACGATGACATGGATTTGAATGGCCTGAATGGACTTCATGGACTTTTCTGCCAGGCCTTTGATGTCCCGTCCTTTTCTGTGTCCTGCCAGCGTAGGTCGTTTGGAGCCTCTCTGTGTGGTTGTGCTGCGGTTGCTTTCTTGATTTCTCAGCTGAACGACACGCCGATGCCACAACATGAAATGGATTTGCAGGCCTTTGCACACACACACTCCGTAACCAGTTTCAGGTTTCTCATGCAGCCGCCGGTCATGTCAACCGACCTTGGTGTTGGGGTGCTGGCATTGATGATGTGCATTCTGTGCTTGCCAACTTGTTGCAGTTTCATGGGGTTCCGCAGTCAGCCACCAAACAGCGGGCCAAACTCATTGCACAGAGCTTGGGCAAAGAACAGGTCAAGCGAGCACTTGAAGGTGTTGCCCCATGGAAGAGCCTTAAGCAAATTGCCAATCAGCACACGCCAGTGATCCAACTTGTCCTGCCAGATGAGCTTGCAGCAGTGGTGCAGGATAGGAAAGCCAGGAAGTCAAATGGGAAGGAAGTAAAGACTGCCAAGCCCAAGCAGGTGCCAGCCAAACCAGTGGATTTGGATCCAGCCCGTTTGCAACTTGAGCCTGATACCTTTTGCACACAGCCGGACACCATGTTGCAGCAAATCCCTATTGGCCATGTTGGGCCCCTTGCCACAGGTGTTGCCTTAGTCACCTATGCTGATGCAGTGCCCTTTTTGCAGGCCAACAAAGTGCTGACGAACAAAGGACTGGCATTGCTCCTTGTCAATGGGCCTTCTGACATCCAAACCGATTTGCAGTGGAGCTCAATCAGGTTCGCTGCCAAGTGTGCGGTCAACCAACAGCCAGTGCTACTTCATGGAGTTTTGGTTCAACTAGGTAGTACACCAGTTTGCCCTTTCATGCGTCCCACCAATGTGTCAGTCCATGATGTCCCGGTTGCCTGTGCCAGAATCACAGTGTTCCAAGACCAATGGCCGAAAGACTGGGAATCCTTCAGCTCTCACCCAGTCAAAGAAGCCTTGCAACATGTGCTGCCTCTCCAAACGTGTAGGGTTGAAGGATGTTCATGCGACAAGTGGCACAAAGACCCCATGGATCATGCCCAAGATGTTTTACTGGATGTTTTCAGACGTCAGTTCTTCACAGATGCAGGCCGCCCAGTTAGAGCACATCAAGCCAGCCATTTCAGTGTCCAAGTGCGATACTTGAAGCAGCAAGAAGCTGCAGTTTTGCGCTGCAGTGGGAATGCCGGTCTGTACATAGAGCCGAGGCTGCCTGACTCATCCAATCCATCAGATGAGTACCAAGTGATTTGGCTTCCACAGTCCACCTTTGCGGAAGCCCAACATTGCATGCAGTGTGAGCCTCACAGCATTGGCCTTGCAAGATCCGGACGTCGCTATGGCATCAGAGTCCAGTCAAAACATTTCCAAACCATGTTTGCCAAGCTGAAGCCGGATAGCCAATTCCTCGCCCCGGGTGAGAGGATGAACTGGCACTGTGGCCCATGGCCATTTGGAAGTGATCGCAAGATGCTGGCCAAGATCTTCAGTGAGATGCAGTGGCAAGCACGCCCTTTGCAACCAGCATTAACAGTTGAAGGAGGGATTATGTGGTTGGTGCAGTCTGTGACAGAGCCTCCACAAGCAGTGTGGAACCTGCAACATGGCCCTGTGGTTGTGTCAAGGTGCGAGTCGGTGTCTGCCAACATGCTCCAGTCAAGCCATGTCATTGGCCCGCAGTCCACTGTTGAACTGTGTAGCTCCAATGCCGAAACAGACCCATGGTTGACCAAAGACCCATGGCAGGGTTCGTTGAAGTCTGTCCCAGTCCAGTCTGGTCCATGTGTAGCCACCCAAATACAGGAAATGGAAGAACGCCTTGAAAAGTCACTGCTTGCCCGATTGCCTTGTGAGCAAATGGAGACAGACGAGACAGACAACAAGGTCCAACAGTTGGAGCTTCAGCTCCAACAACTGGCAACCAGGCAACAGGCGTTGGAAGGGTTGGTGAGTGAACACCATAACCAGCACACGGCACAGGTTCAGACCTTGCAATCCCAGATGATGTCGCAAATGGAAGTGCAACGCACCCAGATGAAAGGAATGTTTGATGATCAAATGAGCCGCCTTGAGGCCATTTTGGCGAAGAAAGGGCGTTTTGACTGAAAGCCCGGCAGCCGTAGGGCAAAGCACACACCTGCGGTGAGCCAGTTAGGTTTTGTGCCGAAGGTTTTTGCAAAGTTTTGGGTTTTGTTCCTTGTTTTCTTTGGCCTGACATGCAGAGTTGGAGAAGCGACCACACCAGGTCCACCACGGACTGACGAAGCATGCTGGACGATGGGGATTTGCAATCCTAGTGGGTTGTTGGGGAAAAGCACTTTGCTAGCGGATGTCAACACCGACATCATTGCAGCCAGCGAGACACACCTTACTGCAGTCTCAAGTTCCATTTTGTTGCACAGTTTGCGCACTCGAAGTGCGTACAAATACATGGTTACAGGTTCCCCCATGGAGCCAAGAACGCAAGCTAGCCATGCCGGCCAATATGCTGGTGTTGCAGTTTTTTCCAAAGAGCCTTCCAGAGCACTTTGCTCAGCATGGCCAACCGACATGTACGAAACAGGCAGGGTCCAAATCACTGGGACTTTGATTGGTTCAACTTGGATCACAGGTGCTGTCATTTATGGTTACCCTCAGAGCAAGTACCATACTAATGCAGCTGAGAAAACGGCAGGGATCTTGGCCCATGTTTTTGACCACATGCTTACTTGTGCCAGTGGACCAAGATACATGACCGGGGATTGGAATTACACCACTGACCAGCTAGCAGTGACCAGCCAGCTCCTTGCGGCAGGGTGGCAAGAAGTTCAGACCTTGGAGTTTTTGCGCAGTGGGGCCACACCACGAAGCACTTGCAAAGGCAAAACCCAGAAAGACCATTTATGGCTTTCCCCTGAACTGATTGCTGCCTATCGTGGGCTTGTCATTACAGATGATCAGTTCCCAGATCATGCTTTGTTGACTGCCAAGTTTGCACGTGACCCTGCTTTGTACACCCGTTACATTTGGCCGACACCATGTCAGGTCAATTGGAAACAAGTGCCAGACCTAGCAGTGCCAGTTGACTTCCAGCAAGGCAGTCCCACTGACCAATATGCCGCCATGTGGAAGACCCGAGAAGACTCAGCGCAAGCCACTTTGCAGAATGCATGGGAACACAACATGCGCGGAAGAGGCCAACGCACTTCCACTTGCACTAGGAAAGGATGGGTTGCCCCTCCCAAGTTGGGTAGAAGCAATGACCCACAACCAAGTTTCATGGGTTATGATGTTCAACATGCCCGCTGGTTGAAGCAGTTGCGTCGGCTTGCCAATTACCACAGTTGGGCCCAGCACCATTGGCACGAAGCAACCTTTGCGTCATGGACTCATGGACTGTTGCTCTGGCGTAGCATCTTAGATGCCAAGGGGTTTGGGGCCTCTTTTGCTGGCTGGTGGACTGGACGAAATTGCGTTGGACTTTCTGACCCTGATGTTGTGCCATCCAGTCCCCCAGACCCATGTGTTGCGTTGTCTCTGTGGGAATGTTTTGATGGAGAAGTGCGTAGCCTTGAAAGACGTTTGAGCCAAGCCAAGAAAACTGCCAGAGTTCATGCACATGCCCGTGACCCCAACTTGATCTTCCGTGACACCCGACGACCACTGCCTGAGCCTGTCTCCAGTTTGCTGGTCACGCATCGAGCAGTGATCGCCGCAGTTGACCCTGATGATGTTGCAGTTGAACTTGAACAACCTTGTTTGTTTGATGACAGTCGGCCAGTCCTTGTTGATGACATGCCGGTGCCAACCATCCATGCCACAGATACCACCCTGTACTTGGGGACTGTTCAGCATGCGAAGCCAGGTATGCAGGTTACACAACAAACACCGGTTGGTACACTTGATGCAATGTTCGATGCTTTTCATGAGCAATGGCAGAAGAGATGGTGCAAGCATGATAATGTGCCCCACTCGCACTGGCAGAACTTGATAGCTTTTGCACGAGCAAGCATGCCACAATGGCACATGCCTGACTTGCATATCACCCCAGACTTGCTCCAGGCAGAGGTGTCACACAAGAAGCCGACTGCGGCAACAGGTTTGGATGGAGTGTCGAGACGGGATTTGCTAGCTGCAGGCCCCAACATGCTCCGTAGTTGTTGCAGCATGTATGACAGAGCGACCACTGATGGCTCATGGCCACCCCAAACACTGACCGGAAAGGTCGCAAGCCTTGCCAAAGTGCCTTCACCAACTGGCACAGGTGATTATAGACCAATCACGGTGTTCAGCTTGTTGTATCGGTGCTTTAGTTCCTTGCAAGCACGTCACATGCTCACACTTGCCGATGAATGGTGTCATGCTGACATCCACGGAAACCGCAAGCAGCACCAGACTGCACACCTTTGGAAAAGTTTGGTTGACCAAATCCAATGTGCCTATGACCAAGGCCAATGCCTGAGTGGCTTGACAGCCGACATAGAAAAAGCCTTTAACTGCCTTCCACGGTTTCCTGTCCTTGCAATGGCCCTCCATGTTGGAACCCCTTTTTCTTTGTTGCAAGCCTGGACTGGCGCCCTTGCCAGCATGGTTCGTAGGTTCAAAGTGAGGGACAGTTACAGCAGTGGTTTCCAAACAAGCACTGGCCTGGCGGAGGGTTGTGCCCTTAGCTGCTATGGGATGCTTCTCATAGACGATGTGATGCACAGGTACGTCCATGCCCAATGCCCGGCTGTTAGGGTTTTGAGTTTTGTCGACAACTGGGACTTCATGACCTGGGACTCCACAGCAGCCCTCAAGCAGCTTGATGTCTTACTGCAGTTTGCAGATTTGACCGACCTGACAGTGGACCGTGCCAAAACTTTTGCCTGGTCAACCAATGCTGAAGTCCGTGGAAACATGAGGGCGGCTGGAATACCTGTGAAACACTTTGCCAAAGACCTTGGTGCTCATGTGGCCTTTTCGAAGCAACGTACCAACCAGACGCTTGCCCACCGGCTTGATGCCCTGAGTTCCTTTTGGACCCAGTTGAAAGCAAGTAAAGCAGGGTACATTGCCAAAGTTCGTGCCTTGCGAAGTGTTGCCTGGCCTCGTGGGCTTTTTGGGGTAGCTAGCGCACCGTTAGGTCATGCAGTTTGGTTGAAACACCGTAGGCTTGCCACCAAAAGCCTTTCCTTTGACAAACCAGGTGTCAACCCGCTCTTGCTCCTTGGCTTGGTCGAAGCTCATGCAGATCCCGAATGGGTTGGCATTCATATGACTGTTGCTGAAGCTCGGTTGTTGTGCCCCCTGGACTTTTGGGCTGTTGAGTTGTACCATGCCGCTTGCTGTCTCCTGGAACCACCACCGTCGTCGCCTACGGCCGTTTTGTTGTCCAGAGTGCAGCGGCTGGGTCTGAGGATTAATGCTGATGGCACTTGGCAAGACACCATAGGGAGCTTTCACCCAGGTCGCCTCAACTATAATGAGCTTTGTTTGCGTTTACAATGGTGCTGGAACCGTCTTGTTGCGAGAGTTCTGTTGCCCACAGGAAAGACTTTGGCGGCCTGTGTTTTGTTGATGCCTTGCACACCAGACGGTGCCTTCGTGCCCTGCCACCTGACCAACAGGCACTGATGCGGCTAAGCCTAGCCGGTGGACTTTACACTCAGGATGCCCACAAACACTGGAATGACACCCAAGGCACCTGCAAATGGTGTGGTCAGCCTGACTCTCTCGAGCACAGGTACTTCCAGTGCCCTGCTACAGCATCCACAAGAGCCAGTGTTGCCCCGGACCTTGTTGCACTTCGGCACCATATTCCCGATGCTTTGGCCTTACGCAGCTGGGCACTTTGCCCACCAACACAAGAAGCCTGGTTGCGATGCCTTGCGTCCATCCCGGACGAACTTCCACCGTGTGCATTGGATTTTTTGCCTGATGTCTGGAATCCTGTCTTCACTGACGGTTCTTGTCTTTGGCAGTCTGATCCTGCGTACCGTGTTGCGTCCTGGGGTGCTGTCTTGGCTCATCCGTTTACGCCTCAATGGACTTTCTCCTGCCGTGGGGTTTTGAGTTCCGGTGTGCTTCCTGGTTTGTGTCAGAGTGCGTACCGTGCTGAACTTTATGCCTTGGCTGTGGTGTTGCACCGAGCTGCTGTGGGGGGCTTCCGGGTTAAGATCTATAGTGATTGCCTTGGGGTTGTTAATAAGTATCAATTGCTCACCCGGGGACAGGCAAGGTTCAAGGTAAACTCGGCCAATGCTGACCTCTGGCTGTGGGTTTTGGAATCAACGGACCGGTTGGGTCTGGACAAGATCTACGTCCTCAAGACACCTGCACACCGTACAGTGGCCTCAGCGAGATCACGGTTTGAGGCGTGGATGTTTTGGCACAATGCTGCAGCAGACCAGGTGGCGAAGTTTGCAAACCTGGACAGAGGTGAGGCTTTTTGGAAAGTGTGGAGTGACCATTCAGAAGCAGTGGTTGCGGCGCGACAACTGCATCAACAGGCGTGGAACTTACATTTGGCAGTGGCTCAGCAGAGCGTGAAGGATGAGAATGCCATGACGTTGGATTCATTGCCTGCACAGCAGCCAAAACCGACCAGGGTGTTTCAGACAAAGTTTGACATCGGAGCTTGGCAGGGAGAAGTGCCGTCACAACTGGCGCATGAATATGGTTTTGGCATGGCGCAGCGAATCGCCATATGGTGGAAGGCTCGAACAGGCACCGGAGACTCAACTGTCCAGTGGGTGTCATGTGCACACTTGTACATCGACTACCAGTTGTCGTGGGGCTGCGCAGGTCCCTTGAAATGCAAGTCTGCCTGGCTGGACACTTTCCTTCGGCCGTATGTGGATGGCAACAAATTTCCATTTCTGAAGAGACTCAAATGGTTCAGGCGTTGCCTTAAGCTGTTTTTGGCGCAGACACGTCAAACAGTAGGACTGGAAATCTGTCGCTGCATTAGTGAAATTGTGCAGGCACATGTTTTTGCTGCCTCTGTGGCGTGGGATGCAGCTGCCTTGGCTACCACAGAAAGCTGGTTAGCTACCAATTGTAGTGGCCCCGTTGCACGTGGAACAAAGATGCTGCAGGCGCTCCCGCTGGCAAAGGTCAGTAAGGGCATGTGTCTTGCAGAACTTGCATCGAAAGATGCTGCATTTAGTGCTGACTGCACTTGAGTGTTGACAAAAGGGCCTCGATCCATTCCATGATCAGGCCCGTCCGCTAGAAATGGTAGAAATGGTGGTTTGGAACCTTTTTTTTCCATATAAATAATGATCCCAATTGACTACTAATATTTTTCAGAGGGGTTGAAACCATGCTTGAATACAACGGCCTTTCTATGTAACATAGATGTTGTCAGTTGGAATGCAAACCATACTCTTTGGGGGGATCCTTTTCAATGCTTAGCTAGAAATTCATGACAAGTGTGGCCAAAAGAGACACATGATGCAAGCACCGGGTCGGTCCCAAGCCAAAAAACACGGGATAACCCTTTTCTAGCGTTTTGACAATCTAGAAAATGGGGGGTGTCCTCAAAATCCATGGAACCAAAGCCGAGAGTCAAGGATGTTCAATATTGTTTATTGGAAGAAAACTGACATTCTTCACTTAAACATATATATATATATCAGTTCAGTGGATCTTTAACTCCACAAAATGACAAATGTACCCTCGATCAACCGTGGCTTGCTGGAAAATCCTCACTTCGGATGGTTTTCTTTATTTTCAATCCTTCATTCAGAGGCATTTTACAGGTTTTAATCACCAGAGGCTACGGTTTATCCCATGGTTTATCGCTGATCCCAAGGAGCTGCGTGCAGATCCCGAGCTGGTCCTGGAAGCCGTGAAGCGTCGCCTGGAGCTCGCTGCATTTGTTTATAGGACGGTTTCTGGCGGTTTCGCTACATCCTATCCATAAAAACACCATTGTTGAGAGATGGATAGGAGCTATGAATATGGATAGGATCATACATGAGATATCATACATATATTGGCGGATCATACATGAGAGATGACTGAGATGGCCAATATATATCAATATATCAGGTCCTATGTTTTGGGATTGACTCGTTAAACCGCTATATCGCTACACCCTAAGTAGCGATTTCAGACGCGTGAACTTCTGCGGGGTAGTTTCAAAGAGGAAGCGTCACTACTTTGAAGTTAGTCAGAACTAGAACTGCATTTCTCACCAAGTACCACACAAACCAAACAGCCCCAGGTGGAGGGTCCTGGTGGGTGAATGAAGATCATAGGAAGATTTCTGTGCAGATCCATGCAAGACTCCATTCCCTGGAAATGTTGGCAAGTCCCTACCAGTGATGGGTAGGTAGGAAGTGCCCTGGTCCCAGAATAGCTCAATGTACCAGTTCCTGGGCTGACGCTCAACTTCAAAGAAATCAACCCATGACTTAGGGTCCATCCCTTACTCCCTTACCAGTGATAAAAGGCGGTGATCCTGATTGTTTGTCTAATGTTTACCCTGTTTACCTATTTTATTATTTGCAATTTAATATATATATATATTTACATACATATACACATGCACACACACATATATACACATATACACATATACACATATACACACACATACATACATACATACATATGATACGATACGATACGATACGACACAATACAATACAATACAATACAATCAATACAATGCAATGCAGTGCAGTGCAATGCAATGCAATGCAATACCATACCATGCCATACCATATCATACAATACCATACCATACCATACATACATACATACATACACACACATACATACAGACAGACAGACATACATACAGTACAATACAGTACAATACAGTACAATACAGTACAATACAGTACAATACAGTACAATACAGTACAGTACAATACAGTACAATACAGTACAATACGATACAATGCAATACAATGCAATAAATACAATAAATACAATATAATACAATGCAATGCAATGCCATACCATACCATACCATACATACACACACAAACATCCATCCATCCATCCATCCATGCATGCATGCATGCATGCATACATACATTCATACATACATACATACAGACAGACATACATACATACCCCCTACCTCTTGAAATTTCAGGGGGGGTACCCCAAAACATTTCTTGAACTTATTTCAGTTCCAACCCCCCCCTTTCAGTTTTGGAAGGCTTTCAATCTCAGCGCGTAGTTCCATGCATGCATACATTCATACATCCATTCATGCATGCATACATACATCCATACATACATACATGCATGCATGCATGCATGCATACATACATACATAAATCATCATAAATCATTACTAAATATTTACTAAATAGAACTAACCATTGCAAACTCATTGGTCAAATCACCAAGTCACTGAATGGAGCTCACAGAGACGATCCCTGCTGCTGAATGGCTCCCCGAGGTCCCACACAGAGGGGCCATATGGCCGTTTGCCAGTTTTTCTTCATGTTGATCATTGCCACATAGACAAATGCATCACCTTTCATGGCCATTGATAATATAAGTTTGACCCTATTTGAACATTTTTTTCAACTCCAGCCACTAGACGGATCTTTGATCTTGTGTATTTTTTTCTGGGCTGGTGATGAAAAACTCTTCGCCCCTTCGCCCGCATGCTGAAGCTGTTCTCTTTGGCAACGGCTGTTGTGGGATGGCCCAGTTCACAAGTTTGGAAGAGGGACCAGCCCAGAAGGGCATTTCGAAGCCTGGTGCTTCGACATCTGGGTTGAAGTTTCCCATCTAAAAAGGGCATGATGATCCCCTTGAACTCATATGTTTGGGATTGAACCACCAGAATTTCTTGGAATGTTCAAGGTCTCAGCACTTCAAACCTCCCAAACGCAAACGTTTTCCGAGCCGTTTTTTTTTCATTACCAAGTGACTCCCTTTCGGATTGGAGACGGGGCAGCGGGGTCCAGTGGGGAATCGTGACCTAGGCTGGCCATAAGCTGGCACTCCTTCCGGCAAATGAGGTTTCCCGGCCTGGAAGTGCTTGGTGACTTGAAACAGATGTTGATTTTTACCCAGCCAGTTGGGATGATGTTCTCACTGGTGACCAACATATGATGGAAGCGTCGTGAAATCAGCAGTTCATTCTCTGAGTTCCTGGCCATTTCGGACTCAGGACCGCAGCGCTTTTACAGGCTGTGGCTGTTGATGGGTGAGTGGGGGTTGAGTGAACTTTGATAAATTCCAATGGAATCCAATGAAAATCCAAAGACGACGCTCTCCTGTGACTTTTGTGATTCCAATTTCCCATGAAATCCAGATGTTTGATGAGAGAGACAAGAGAAAAAGTGGCATAGGACTGGTTACTTCAGCGGTTCGAGACTCTTTCTTTGTGATTGACCTTTATTGTTCCAGTGAAAGAATGTGGAGTCACCAGTGATGCAAACAACATTCACTGGCTCAACAGTATCCACGTTTTTTTCCTGTGTCTCCAGGAGACGTTTGACCCCATTCAAAGGTAACATCGCCCTAAGATTCCTGATTTACCTCTCAAACTCCTAAGTTTCCCATTTTCAGCTCTGAACCATTGCCCATTGGTGACCGACGGTCATAGACATCTAGCCAAAGGTTTTGAAACTCTGATATTAATCTTCAAAAGCTGGACCCCATGCACCGTGATGGGGAAACATGGAAAGGTTTGTGATGACCGGGCTCCGAGTTCGATCCCAGACTTTGTTGATGTAGTTTTACTCTGTCCAAAACATGTTCGCTGCAAACCGGACGTTTACCCGCCGCTGACTTTCTGTATTCTAAGTGATGATAAGTAACGGTAGTCTTCCCTAAGTAGCAGTGGTTGTTTGTTGAATATTCCAATTGAACATATTGTTTTGCGGGGGTGGGGGATTTTTAGCTTTCTTGTACCTTGTCAAGAATTTTCTGTAATGAAAGTAAATAGCGGTAGTCTTCCCTAAGTGGCAGTGGTTGTTTGTTGAATATTCCAATTGAATATATTGTTTTGCGGGGGTGGGGGACTTTAAAACTTTCCTGTAACTTGTCAAGACTCTTCTTTAATGAAAGTAAGTAGCGGTAGTCTTCCCTAAGTAGCGGTGGTTGTTTCTTGAATATTCCAACGTTTTGCGGGTGGGCGAACGTCTGGTTTGCGGGGAACATGTTCAAACCATGTTCCAGTTGCCAAGACTGGTTGGTGGCTTGAAACATTTTTTCTGTTCCCATGTGTTGAAAAATGATGGTCCAATCTGACTATATTTGACTGATACTTTTCAGATGGGTTGAAATGCCAAATTTCACAAAGCCCGCTTTTAAGCAGGAGGTATTGCATTTAAGGAATCTGTATAGGGATGCAATTGTTTTCAAAGGCTGAACCCAAGTTTGAGACATTTAGATTATTTTGATTGATGCGCAAGATTTTAGATACATATGGTTTTTAGAATTTGATGGGACAATAGACAAACATAGGCTAGATAGACGACGTTCTTTCCATATCATTCCAACTATAAAGCATTCCTGCTCCAACGTGTCGCGGCGCCAGTGTGGTTTGGGGCCTTTTTGGATCAGTTACACCTGCCGCCCGGATGCAATGCTATGCTTTAGGTCAGCAAGAAAAAAGCACCGAAGGAATCACCCAAATGCACTTGCTATCCGTTGGAAATAACAACTAACAACTCAACAGAGTCCACAGTGCATAAGTAAATCAAAATACATTATGAACAAAAAAATCTACGATTAGGTACTGGGCTGGACACACCAAAGACCAATTATATAGCCATTGACAAGGCAGCAAGTCTTGTTTGTTCATCAACCTTGGCAACTGGCTCAGTTGCCATCGCAGCCTGCCATGCTGTCACAGCTTGCTGTATCAGCCCGTGATTCATTATTGGCAATCGGCCCCCTTGTGTTCCGATATGGTGGGCGTGCGGATGTCCAGAAGTACACGAGCGGCATGCAAGATTTGGTTTCACTTCTCAGCAAGATACAAGAGGCCCTTGATTGTCATGTGGGGAAGGTGTGATGAATAGAACAAATCAGTGCTACATGTGGTATCATGCGCCGGAAAAACTGTATGGACTAGGGCAGGCATCTGGTATCGAATCAGGTACCATGACTAACTCAGATGCGGAGTCAGACTGAACAATGAAATATCCACAACTGAAATGACATGCACCAAACGTTCAACAGTTCAACAACTGTTCTGTGTTGCTCTGTCCACTGCCCAGGTGATGCAACCGCCGACTGGTGAGACTGCTATGGCT